CTCCCATTATGAACTTGCATTTCCAGCGACCAGTTAGTTGATTTGTATATATGCAGTACAAGGCATTAGCTGAAGAGTAGTGTTCCTTGGTTTGGATAAAAGTGTTTGTGCTCTACTGATAGTTACCAATGTGTATTCTGCATGTATTTAAAATCTACATGTAGATTGTTTGGGTTGGGTCTTCATTTGTATTCATGCATTGAAACACGCAGTATACATGGTGTGAGCTGTATCTCACGTGTATAGTACATAATGTGCACGAGAGGCATTAATTGTATTATAAAGTTAGCACTTGATGATCTGCTGTTAAACTTGCTCACTAACTCTTTTAGAAACACAATAACCATTAAGTTGCATAGAATCATAGAGCTGGAAGAGACCTCAGAAGGGCATCAAGCCCAGCCCCCTGCCCAAGGCAGGATCAATCCCAACTAAATCAACCCAGCCAGGGCTTTGTCAAGCCGAGACTTAAACACCTCTAGGGATGGAGACTCCACCACCTCCCTAGATAACCCATCCCAGTGCTTTACCACCCTCCTCGCGAAATCATTTTTCCTAATATCCAACCTAGACCTCCCCTGCTATAACTTGAGACCATTGCTTCTTGTTCTGCCATCTGTCACTGCTGTGAACAACCTTTCTCCAGCCTCTTTGGAACCTCCCTTCAGGAAGTTGAAGGCTGCTCTCAAATCCCCCCTCACTCTTCTCTTCTGCAGACTAAACAGACCCAACTCCCTCAGCCTCTCCTCATAGGTCATGCGCTCCAGCCCCCTAATCATTTTGGTTGCCCTCCGCTGGACTCTTTCCAATGCGTCCACTTCCTGTCTATAGTGGGTGGCCCAGAACTGGACACATTATTCCAGATGTGGCCTCACCAGAGCCATATCGTTCTACCGATCAGTATCTTTCTGTATATAAAAAGTTTTTTCTGCCGCATGACAGAATGATGGTAAGAGTAGCGAGCAGGGGGCAGCCCCCAAGTAATTTTAAATATTGAATGTACACTTCTTGTACGTAAAAGTCTATACTTTTGGTACCCAGAGAACAGAGGAGTTATAAGAATTGTGGAAATTAGGTTAATGTTTTAATGGTATAAAAATAATTGTGGAGCTGATTACCGAATCCTGACTTGAAGCTTAAATCATAAAATACTAGGACTGGAAGGGACCACAAGAGGTCATAGAGTTCAATCCCCTGCTCTCATGGCAGGACCAAATACTGTCTAGACCATCCCTGATAGACATTTATCTAACCTACTCTTAAATATCTCCACAGATGGAGATTGCACAACCTCCCTGAGCAATTTATTCCAGTGTTTAACCACCCTGACAGTTAGGAACTTTTTCCTAATGTCGAACCTAAACCTCCCTTGCTGCACTTTAAGCCCATTGCTGCTTGTTCTATCCTCAGAGGCCAGGAAGAACAAGTTTTCTCCCTCCTCCTTATGATACCTGAAAACAGCTATCATGTTCCCCCTCAATCTTCTCTTTTCCAAACTAAACAAACCCAATTCCTTCAGCCTTCCTTCATAGGTCATGTTCTCTAGACCTTTCATCATTCTTGTTGCTCTTCTCTGGACCCTCTTCAGTTTCTCTCCACATCTTTCTTGAAATGCGGTACTTAGAACGGGACACAATACTCCAACTGAGGCCTAACCAGCGCAGAGTAGAGCAGAAGAATGACTTCTCGTGTCTCGCTCACAACACACCTGTTAATGCATCCCAAAATCATGTTTGTTTTTTTTGCAACAGCATCACACTGACTCATATTTAGCTTGTGGTCCACTATAACGAGGGCTTGCCGAACCGCGGTGATCTCCGCTCGCCAGCTGCGCTGTCCAGCGATCTGCGCATGCGCAGGTCGCCTGAACCCAGCTTTTCCGGGTTGCAATCTACTCTCCACGGGCGAGTAGATTGCCTTATTTGTCGAGTCCTGCAAATTAGGCATGTGATATTTAAATCCCTGCCTCATTTGCAATGTTGACCTGCCTAATTTGCATCCCTCTGCCGACAGAGGGATGCAGTCTGCACATACCCAAAGTCTACATCCCTAAATTCTTGTGGCTGCTGCTGCCATGGATGGACATCACATAACAAAAGATTGGATCTAAAAAGCAGAAAATCTTGTCAGATGATCTTTCTTAAATTTTCTTATCCTGGGAGATGTTAACATTCTAGATTAATGGCGTTCTAATATCTCTGTGCCAGTTCGGTATAAATTTATACAATTCCACTTACTACAAGGGGCTGCACTGAATATTTGGCCTTGTTATTGTTGTTGTTAATTGACAACATTGACACCCTTTTGAGATGTTATTCACCCTTTCCAAAAGCAGGCTATGACATTGGTTCGTCATCCTTTACATACCTGAGATTTTGACTAAAGGTATGGTTTCCTCACATGGGATATGACAATGGTCGCCTCTCCATCCCACCAGAGAAATTAACACTCAAAGCTACAGAATCTCTTGAACACCTTAAGTCAGAGGTTCTCAAACAGTGAGTTATGACCCCATATTAATGAGGTAGCCAAGACTGGTGTTAGACTCGCTGGGGCCCAATGCCAAAGCTGAAGCTCAAGCCCCCTTGGCCATGGTTGAAGCTGAAGTCTGAGGGCACAGCATAGGTCTCCCCACTGCCCAGAGTGATCGAGCTTGGGCAGCCTAGGTCTACGGTCCCCCTCCTGGCATTGTGTAGTAATTTTTGTTGTCAGAAAGGAGCCACGGTGCAATGAAGTTTGAGAATTCCTGCCTTAAGTTCAATGTGTCCCACAAAAGCTAAAAAAGAAACCGACCCACAAGATTAAGGGTCCAATGAATTGGTAGAACAGTGTGATCACTTCATGACCACAGGGTCATGCCTTGGCCATAAGCCAACCTTATACCACACTGATTGTAAAATCACTATGTCGTATGAATGAAACACACAGCAAGAAGACAAGAATAGTGATGATGCACAACTTACACTGAATCCATCTACCAATGACACATATATGTCTTACAGGTTTAGGCCTCTGTAGTAACAGAAGAATTGATCATCTGCTCTCTCATGCTTTAATACTCTGTAGATTTTAGTAAGATTTTAGATTTGGTTTGATGGTTTTAATGGGAAGCCTGTCATTTATTCTTACTGATGAAACAGGAATACTGATGTGCCATTGCTGCAAAAATAAATTAAAACTGTAGAACAACTTTGTAAAATAGGATGTAAAAAAGGCCAATTTCTGGACTTGTGTTAAACAGTAGGAGTTTTGCCAGTGCCTACAGTGAATCATAGAATCACAGAACCATAGAGCTGGAAGAGACCTCAGAAGACCATCAAGTCCAGACCCCTGCTCTAGGCAGGACCAATCCCAACTAAATCAACCCAGCCAGGGCTTTGTCAAGCTGAGACTTAAACACCTCTAGGGATGGAGACTCCACTACTTCCCTAGGTAACCCATTCCAGTGCTTTACTACCCTCCTAGTGAAATAGTTTTTCCTAATATCCAACCTGGACCTCTCCCACCACAACTTGAGATCATTGCCAGTAGTAAGAGTGACAGGGCTCTCTCCTCCCCCCACCCCTTCGGTTTTTGGCACAAATTTACCAAAAGCTGTGTCTGCATCTATACGATTCTGTTAGGGGATAATTCTTAAATGAATATTTTAAAACACTTTAAAACAAGTTCATATAACGTGACTTTGTACAAAGTGCAAACGGGGCGTTATGTGATGTCACTTTTTAAATATTAAGATGAGAGAGTATATTCTTAGTGATGTCCAACAATATTTTTGGTACAGGCAGTCCCCGGGTTACGTACAAGATAGGGACTGTAGGTTTGTTCTTAAGTTGAATCTGTATGTAAGTCGGAACTGGCGTCCAGATTCAGCCACTGCTGAAATGGATCAGTTTCAACAGCGGCTAAATCTGGATGCCAGTTCTGACTTACATACAGATTCAACTTAAGAACCACAGGTGTCCCCAAGTCAGCCGCTGCGGCACCCGGTGCTGCTGGGGGTGGGGACGCACTAGCTGCGCCCCCCTCCCCCAGCAGACCAGGGAGACCCGAAGCAAAGCCACGGAGGCGGCGGGGTCCCGCGCCTCCAAGGCTTTGCTCCGGGTGTCCCTGGTCTGCTCGGGGTGTCCCTGGTCTGCTGGGAGGGGGGGGTCCCCAGCAGACCAGGGACACCCAGAGCAGCTTTTCTCGCCCCGGAGAATGCAGGCGGCGGGACCGTGGCTCATCTGGGTGTCCCGCTGCTCCCGTCCTCCGGGGCGAGCAAAGCCCCGTTCGTAACTGCGGATACGACGTAAGTAGGATCCGCGTAACTTGGGGACTGCCTGTACTTCATTAACAGGGTGAAATATATCAGACAGGTTAATAGATTTCTTAGCAGTCCATTCTTGTTGCATAGATAAGATCTAAAGGCAATGCCTTTTAAAGAGCTGCTTGACTTTGCCAGAGTGATATTCATGCAGCACAAAAGGTGATGATTTGAAATCAGTGTGCTAAACAGATTAAACATCTTTTCTATGCATTCGGATTTTTGTGAATGTGATGGGGAGAACACCATTCCAAGAAACGCATTTCATTAGAGATATGTCTCTTTAGGATTGTCAGTTTATTTCTTTAATGTTACTTAGACATTTATACTTATGTGTTTGAGATTCTCTAATTCCTGAATAGGAATTTATAGCTGTTCTGAAGTATAATACTGAAAATAACTAAGTTACACGACTTCAAAAATGTTCAAAAATAAAAAAGATCAGTAGGAGGGCAATAAACCATGTTCACTTGATTGTGCTGCAATACATTAATTGTATAGTGGATCTATTGATTCTGTATGGTTCTGTTGTGCTTTTTGATACTTAAAATCAAAAAAACACCTTCTCATAATATAGTAAGTAGGATTCATGAATCCAACGGAATGACTGCATTTTTAATTCCCTCATGTTAAATAACTTTATGGTAGCTGCTCTTTTTTAAATTACATGTTTTATTTTATCTCATTTGGTCAACAGGGGAGTTACTAATCTTGACGGCATGGATCATTCTGTGCTCAGAGGGGAGATGTCTGCAGTTCTTCATGACAGGTATGTTTTATATAAGGAGCTGAAATCAGGCCGGGCCTTCAGTGCTTATGGTTAGGGTGGCTGTGATTTTTCTTAACCTTGAAAACATATTCCATTTTTCTTTCTGGAGAACTTGAAGGAATCAGAAAAACAGAACAAAAAAGTTGCTCCCCCAAAAGCACATGTTTTGAGAAATAAAACCCCAAGACGTAATATGCGCCTCATTGCATCTGTTTTTGTACCTCAGACAGAGCCTGGGATTTTCCAAAATGAAAAGCTTTCAGTTCTATAAGGAGAAAAGCAAGGAATCTGTTTGTTCTCTCTCCAGCCTATCTAGTTAAGTCTTCTGATCTTTTGCTCTTTATCATGAACACAGTCAGAATATGCTGAAGACACCTGTTTGCTGGGATGGCTGAGAGAATTCCGGAGGTTTTTCAAACAAAATTCTGAATTCAACTGCCCTTCTTGGTTTTTTTAAACTTCAACTTTTTATAATTGTAGCAGTTCATGATGGCTCAGTCTTTCTAGAGAAACACAGATTCAGGTTAGAAATCTAGATACTTTTCTCTACATACTAGAAGAGAAGAAATTCGTTGTTGTAGCAGCTGCATTTCAAGCTTTTCTTTCTGTTTTTAACTTGGTTGTAAAGTCTGTATTTGGGATCAATCACATTTTATATCGTTGTAATGGTTCTAGAGTCCCTTATATAAAATTATACAAATGTGGGGAAGGGACTTCAAGAGGTCATCAAGACCATTCTCTGAGGGAGAACCTTGTAAATCTAGACCATTCCCGAAAGGTGTTGGTCCTACCTATTCTTATACCTTCAATGATGGGGATTCTACATATTCCTTTGGAGGCCTGTTCCAGAACTTATCCTTGGGATACATTTTTCCTAATATTTAACTTAAATCTCCTCCTTTGCTGCAGATTAAGCCCATTGCTCCTTGTTCTACCTTCAATAGACACAGGGAACAATTTTGCCATCCTCTTTATAATCGCTCTTTGCAAATTAAGACCTATCAGATTGTACTGTCGTCGTCTTTTCTCAAGATTAAACAGACCATGTTTTTTTTAGAACTTTTCCTTAAAACTATAGGGTCAGATTTTCTAAACCTTTCATCGTTTTTGCTGCTGTCCTTGGAACTCTTTTCAGTTTGTCCACATCTTTTCTAAAAGGTGGCACCTGAAATTGGACATTGTACTCCAGCTAGAGGCCTCACTAGTGCCGGAAAGAACAGGACAGCTACTTCCAATGTCTTACATTTGATGCGTCTGTTAATACAACACAAAATATTAGCGCTTTTTTATAATTGTATCATATTGTTGATTCATAGTCAATTTGTGATTCATTTTAACACCCAGATTGTTTTCAACAGTACTGCTGCCTACTCAGTTGTTCCCCATTTTGTAGTTGTGAATTTGACCTTTCCTTGCTAAGTGAAGTACTTTGTGCTCGTCTTTATAGAATTTCATCTTGATGATTTTTAGACGAATTCTCCAGTTTACTAGGGTCATTTGAATACTAATTCTGTCTTCCAAAATATTTGCAACACTGCCCAGCTGCTTGGGGTCATTCACAGATTTTTATAAAAATACTCTCTGCTCCAGTATCTAAATCTCTAATGAAAATATTGAATGCTAATGAACCAAGGACAGATGCCTGCGGATTGTAGTAGATATAGCCTTCCAGTTAGATAGCCAGCTATTGATAACTACGCTTTGGGTATAGACTTTTAACCTGTCATGCACACCCACTTTATAGTAATTTAATCTAGACCACTTTTGCGTCACTTGCAGGATTGTGTATTTAAAAAAAATAAACCCAACGACTTTACTAAATCAAAGATATCTCATGTCTGTGCCACCTCTTTCCCCTCCCCTCCCATATCTATTAGGCCAGTAACCCTTTCAGAGAAGGATGTTAGGTTAGTTTGGCATAATTTGTTGTTGGCTATTCCTTTATAACCCTGTTATCCTCCTTATGCTTACAAATTGGTAACTTTCTCCAGTATCTGTCCACATATCTCTTCACTTTTGGCTGGCTGACTGTGTAGTTCTTCCGGTTCTCTTTGTTCTCCTTTTTAAAGATAGGTACAATATTTGACCTTCTCCAGTCTTCTGAAACCTCCTCCAACCTCCATGAGTTCTTGAAGATAACTGCCAACAGTTGTAATATTATTTCAGCTAGCTCTTCAAAACTCAGTATGCACTTTTCAGACCTCCATATTGATTACAAATATCAATCTACTTATAGTAGTTGGATGCTGTGTAGAGAAATCTTCCACTGAGTGTTAAGAAGCTAGGATATGACTATACATTTTATTTTTTGCTGTGAAGCTCCTGGTGGCTGAAGAAGAAATTTCAAATCTAAGTTTTACTAATTTATGAGCTCATTATGAATACGGTGCCCAATTCTCATACCTCAGTGAGTTAGTAGGGTATAAAACATACATATACGAGAGGTCATGAACAGAAACTGATTGTAATAGTGGCTTCATCCCATTTCAGTATCACTTTGAAATAATCAAGTAGATGTTAGTGACACTTAGTCTTGCTTTGTTTTGTCACTTAATCCTAATATTTGTACTCTGGACAAATCAGACTAATTCAGGAAGCACAGGTGTGTGCGCTAGAGGGTTATTTAACTGAGTGGACGTACCAATCTTTTGACTACAATTTTAGTCTTTTTTTGTCTCAACTCATTTTCTTTTCTCTAAAACTGAAACTCATTATGATGTTTTCAGCTACTGACTATATTTAGAATTGCATTATCCTTCACATTATAATGCTTCATTTACTTAGATTACTTACAGTTCAATATGCTATGTTCTTAATTTCCTACAGGGCAGCCTGAGAGGAGATTTTTTTTTTTAGTTGTTTCTAGTTCCGTTTGATGTATATTGGCATACCTCCCTCTCAGGGGTTCAAACTGGTGGGTCCTGTCTGAAGCCAGTGCCAAAGGGAGACCCACGTATCTCTGGTTTGAAGTTTTGGGGGGAAGTTACTCAGGTTGAGAAGTGTAAAATTTGCAAAGGCTTCTGCCCAGGGAGAGACTTAGGCTGAAATTGCTCTTCATGGAGTCAGCCTTCGATTCCCAGCTGGCCTCAGTAACAGACTATGGCACAGAGATTTGGTCTCTAGAGACCCTTGTCACCGCCACTGCCTGTCACTGACGACTTTCTCGGGTGCGAGTTCCTGCACAGCTCTCATTTGCGGTTACTACACAAGATGATAACCTCCAGAGGTTGCTCTGCCACTAAACCAATGAATAAAGGAGGGACTAGCAGGGTATGCCCCGCACTGGGACACCCTGCTCTGATTTAACCTGCACCATCAGTTCCCGCCTCACTGGGAGGTCAGTCGAGTCTGGTTCTTGTAGAATCTACGGTACAGGAGCGTCATGTGGAAGAGTTGGACCTCTCCTCCACTTGGGACACCTTTGAGACAGCTAGGCACCTTAAAGTGATGACACAGTTCCCTGCAATAACCCCAGTGTTGCAAAGAAGCCCCACGCTATCCAGGGGCAAGCCAGGTATGTTGTGGCACCATTCACCCTCACGCCACACTGCTCCCCACCATCACCAAGGTCTGAATCTTTGGCGGACTCGTGAGTGAAGTTGTATGTGTCGAAGCGGAGCTGGCACTGCTTGACAGGATTAAGGACAACCATTGCCTGTGATGCCTTGGCCACTGGAGTGACAAGCCACCAAGCCCAAGGGCTGTGGTCCAAGTTGTCATCAGTGGTGTTGGAGGCATGACCCTCTCCATCGTCACCGGTAGCCCAGGAACTTCCACAAGGCTGCAAGATGGGCCATGCTTCAGTATAGAGGTTGCAGTGGGGACTGGCATAGATCCAGAAACTAGCACCTTCTCATAGCTTGGACTATTGACCAATGTTCCCCCTAACCTTTTTCTTCTATATGAAATTTTCCCCCCATCCAAGTATGGAGTAAATTTTTGTGCACTGAGACATGTGCCTATGTCCACCCCCAGTAGAAACAAAACCGAGCTGTGGGCGCTGGGCTGATCAGTGGGCAGCATTGGAATCTCTGAATGGACACATGAGTATACCACTGCTGTTGATCTAGTCTAGGTTGCCAAGTGCAGGCATATTGGCACATGGGCATCTCCGTGAGCCAGAGGGGAAAAAAGGACCTGGTGCCCCATGGGTATCCTTCTCGTCTCCTGGTGAGGCAGTGGTGGACAGATCTACCACACTGTTGGCCATGAGTAACAGATGCCACCAAGAATTGTTCGGAAGGGTGGCTTGGAATTTGGGCATGCAGGCAAAGGAAGTATTGGAGGAGACTGACCCCACAGTTGACATTCTGGTGTCTGATGATCCTTCAAGGATGGCTTTGCCCCTCATTGAGACCATTCAGAACACTATCAAAGCATTGTACCGAGGTGGTGGAGAGGAATACTTTGTGCCTTCAAAAGGCTATGGGTACTTTTTCCCACACTCTCAGCTGGGCATATTGGTTGTGCTGGCTGCCAGCGAGAAGGAAAAGCAAGGGCAACTAGACAGACTCCAAAGTCCCAAGAGGCAAAGAAGCTGGATCTCCTTGGCAGGAAGGTATGTTCTACCGGGGTTTTGCTAACCAGCCGTTAGAGCTTTAATTCCTGGATCTTGCATTCCGAAGGCAAGGAGTTGCTTCTGGCTGACGCTCAATCGGAGCTTGCTGCTATTTCGGAAGAAAAGATCTTCCCTCGGTTGTGCTGATTCAGCATCCTGGGCTGCGTCAACAGCCAGAGCTATGAGAAGGAGCTCGTGGCCTCAGGTTTCAAGACTTCCCCATGAAGTGCAGCAGACAATGCAGGCTTTCAACCCCTCAGGACTTTCCCAAGAGCAAAAAGACTCTGTGCCACAGTCTCAAAGACTTACATGCAATATTGAAGTTTTTGGGGCTTCATACACCAGCCCCTAAGAGGAAGCACTTAAATCAGCAGACACCTCTCGCTTCTACTCTGCTTCTCCTAGACAGGACTATCGGAGGAAGCGGGGCAGGAATAAGTGG